CCCCTAGAGGACAGAGTGGAACTGCTCCACAGGGTCTCCAAGGCTGTCTTCTTTACAGCCGACTGCCACATCTTTCCCCCAGAGCGTGGCTGGTGGGTTCGAACTGCCGACTTTTAGTTAGCAGCTGAATGCTGAATCAGTGGGCCACCAGGGCCCCTTGTTCTTACCTTAGGTATCCCAATTCACCCTGGCTGCCAGGGAGCTCCATGCTTGATTGTCCCAGCTAGCTTGCTGTTTCTACCTTTCTGAGGGGAACTGTACTGTGTGAGCTCATTTTGCAAACCACTCATCTTGCTTATTTGCTTTTCTTGTCTAACTGCACTGGCTAGTACTCTGACGACAATACCGTTCGCTTCAATACAAGATAAAAGCAAACCGTCAGATGCCAGGAACCGCCAATCAGGAAAAACCAAGCTGAAAGTTCCACCAAGCTTTAAAAAGCCGTCTCTCAAACCTCCCCTAAGGGTGGGGGGCTTGGGAAGCTTCAGGGTCCAACCATGAAGACAGTTGGCTTTTCTATCCGTGCCTCCTAGACTTATCACCCCAAAGACTGATGGCCACACTCACACGACCTTTATGGAAACAGGGAACCTCTCCAATACTCCATCTCAGCCCAGTGAGCCTTCCTCTTCTCCTGGAGGCTTGAAGGGCACTTTTTACCACAGGAAAGAAGGCAAAGGATAAAAGCTGACTAATCTGTGCAACACCCTCCTTCTGAATTCTGCTGTCATTAATGGTGTTCAGCTGGACCTCTTCACTGTATTAGGTAACATACGCTGTCTACAAATTAACGATAAGCTTGCCTCTTCCTTTACAATGCACACATGCCTATTTCTTTTTCCTGTTTGATTGCATAGGCTAGGACCATCAAACAGTGTTTAACAGCAGTACCAACAGTGACTTGTTTCTGATTCATGGGGATTAGGTCAACATTGAGTATGATGCTGCATATATACGTATGGAGATACACGTGTATATGTTCATTTATTATCTATAAAGAGCTCTGGGAGCTCTGGTAGCATAGTGGCTAAGGCACTTGACTGTTAACCAGAAGGCTGGCGGTTCAAACCCACCAGCCACTCCTTGGAAGGAAGGTTGGGACAATCTATTTCCATAGTGATACTGCCTCGGAAACCCAAGGAGGGGTCGCTATGAGTCAAGTCAAGTCAATGGCAGTGACTTTGGTTT